ATGCAGAATTCAAAATGACAGAGAGAGAACGGAAAGAGAGACAAGAAAATCAAGTTAGAGGAAAAAAGACAAGGAAGATAGGAGAGACATGGGGGACAGTGAGACACAGGGATACCGGGGAGACAAGGAGACAGGGGAGACATAGGGATACAGGGGGAGACATATGGAGACAGGGGGATACATAGGGAGACATAGGGAGACAGGGGAGACAGGAGGAAACAGGGGGAGACATAGGTAGACATGGGGAGACATAAGGAGACAGGGGAGACAGTGGGACACATAGGGAGACAGGAGAGACACCAGGGAAACAGGAGGAGACATAAGGAGACATAGGGAGACAGGGAGAGACAGGAGGAAACAGGGGGAGACATAGGTAGACATAGGGAGACATGGGGAGACATAAGGAGACAGGGGGAGACATGGGGAGACAGTGGGACACATAGGGAGACAGGAGAGACACCAGGGAAACAGGAGGAGACATAGGGAGACATAAGGAGACAGGGGGATACAGTGGGACACATAGGGAGACAGGAGAGACACCAGGGAATCAGGAGGAGACATAGGGAGACAGGGGGAGACATAAGGAGACAGGGGAGACAGGAGGAGACATAGGTAGACATAGGGAGACATAGGGAGACATAAGGAGACATGGGGAGACAGTGGGACACATAGGGAGACAGGAGAGACACCAGGGAAACAGGAGGAGACATAGGGAGACAGGGGGAGACATAAGGAGACAGGGGAGACAGGAGGAGACATAGGTAGACATAGGGAGACATAAGGAGACAGGGGAGACATGGGGAGACAGTGGGACACATAGGGAGACAGGAGAGACACCAGGGAAACAGGAGGAGACATAGGGAGACAGGGGGAGACATAAGGAGACAGGGGAGACAGGAGGAAACAGGGGGAGACATAGGTAGACATAGGGAGACATAAGGAGACAGGGGAGACAGGGGGAGACAGGAGAGACACCAGGGAAACAGGAGGAGACATAGGGAGACAGGGGGAGACATAGGGAGACATGGGGAGACAGGAGAGACACCAGGGAAACAGGAGGAGACATAGGGAGACAGGGGAGACAGGAGGAAACAGGGGGAGACATAGGGAGACACGGGGAGACAGGAGACACACCAGGGAAACAGGAGGAGACATAGGGAGACAGGGGGAGACATAAGGAGACAGGGGAGACAGTGGGACACATAGGGAGACAGGAGAGACACCAGGGAAACAGGAGGAGACATAGGGAGACAGTGGGACACATAGGGAGACAGGAGAGACACCAGGGAGACAGGAGGAGACATAGGGAGACAGGGGGAGACATAGGGAGACACGGGGAGACAGGAGAGACACCAAGGAAACAGGAGGAGACATAGGGAGACAGGGGAGACATAGGGAGACAGTGGGACACATAGGGAGACAGGAGAGACACCAGGGAAACAGGAGGAGACATAGGGAGACAGGGGGAGACATAGGGAGACACGGGGAGACAGGAGAGACACCAAGGAAACAGGAGGAGACATAGGGAGACAGGGGAGACAGGAGGAAACAGGGGGAGACACGGGGAGACAGGAGACACACCAGGGAAACAGGAGGAGACATAGGGAGACAGGGGGAGACATAAGGAGACAGGGGAGACAGGAGGAGACATAGGTAGACATGGGGAGACAGGGAAGACATAGGGAGACAATTTTAGGCATTAAAAGTGCTGAATTTACATATTTCGTGCCTCTTACATGAAGTAACAACCCTTTTAAAGATGTACAAGTAAATTAAAAATCCTGCGAATTTAAAAAAAGAGGCATGTAGGGATGGTATAAAAAGAAAGGGAGACAAGATAGGGATGGGATACACGAAGCATGGTTAACAAACAGATTTGAGTACGCTGACACCCCCAACCCCATCACACAATCCCTATATGGTTGCCTGGTGTGTTACTCTTATAGGGGCTAAAGGTTACTAAAAGCATGCATTCTTTCATGGTGTCCCTGTTGTTTTTTAGTAACATTTATACTGCCACATTCCCTTGGACTCTATAAGGGTGTTGGTTACTCAGTAGTGTATTGTAAGTTCTGAGTATTGTAATGGTGAATGTTTAATACTTCACCTAGGCAACAATAATTATAGGGATTGTGTGATGGGGTTGGGGGTGTCAGTGTACTCAAATCTGTTCATTAACCATTCTTCATGTATCCCATCCCTATCTTGTCTCCCTTCCTTTTTACATCCCTATATACCTCTTTTTTTAAATTCGCCGGATTCTTTTTTTACTTGTCTCCACTCATTTTTATATACTACTACGTATTGTCTCTGTGGAAGGGGGGCAAGCCCCTATAAAAATTAATAACAGAGAAAAAAATGCCTGTTGTCGTCATGGAAATGATATGCTTCATCTCCATGCGTGCTGCCGTTAGCAAGTTTGAGGAGTGAAGAAGTAATTTTGAAAAAGTTCCAGAGGCTATTTGTTTTGTGGTTGTGATGGAAACGATGTTACACACATGCGTACCAAGTTCCATCTCCATGCGTGGTACTGTTAGCGAGTTTGAGTGAAGAAAAGAAAAGTGCTTGTTGCTGTGGTCGTCATGGAAACGATGTAATACACATGCGCACCAAGTTTCACCTCCATGTGCTACGTACAGGTTAGATGCTGAGCGGAGGGTACGGTTGTTCCGCGCGGACATTTAGATCGTTATCGCGTGCTGGCCGCCCAGAAATTTGTAATCGCGGGACATAGCAACGTATACGTGTAGTTTTTGTGGACTCGTTGCTATGGGGTTTTCTACCAATCCTGACGTTACACACAGCGCTCAATGGTTGCAAAGAACATGAACACTAACTATACATCACCATGGCAGCTTCGCACAGCCAGCTGTCAAAATTGTTTACAACTGCGCAGACCGTCTTTGTTGCAACCCGTGCCACGGGTACCCCGGAAAACCCGCTCAGTGCCAGCTTCACACAGTTTTTATGAACGCAAAGCCATATGCAGTAAGTGCACAACAAACTGTACTATACCTCGCACAAGACATCGCTCACTAAACATTTTTTGTTAGCTCGCAGCAAGCCCAGAGAGGTGGGGCCGGGTACCTAGTGCACGCGAGACTTCCGACGGCACTCTACACACCCACTCATCAATGGCCCACAATAGCCATAAATATCATTTGGAACAGCTACAAAAGCACTGCAGAGTTTGTGCTTCCAACTTCAATGCCAATTCAAGCCTACAGATATCCATGCTCCTCCATAAAACCAGAGCAGTGGGCAGCAGTGGGCATTGGCCAGCACTCTGACACCCAGACATTCACCCACCAACAGTGTGCCTCAGTTGCCAGGAGAAAATGACAAGAATGGCTAATGGTGTAACAACAAGCCTACAACTGGCGGGCACATGACGACAATGGCTGTGGCACATGCGTCATGTTTCGGAGCCAATCGGTAGGAGGTCGGCCAAAAAAGAACAGGGGTAGGCCAAGGAAATCCACAGAAGGGTTGACCAGACTCAAGAAGTCCACGACGCCATCCTGGGATGCTCTCCAACCAGCTCTCTTTCTCTCTCCGCCTAGTACACGTCCCCAGCTAGAGGACCTGCAGTGCTGCATGTGTCACTGCATTGTCGACAGGCCAGTAGAGACAGGTTGCAGAAAATTGGCATGCCTTAACTGCGTCGTTGACAAGCAAGTTTGCCCTCATTGCAGCACTCACGATGCACAGATCGACTCCCATCTATCACCAGTATCAGACGTCATCCTGAAGGTTGTGGGCGCACTCCTCCTCCGCTGTCCAGCCTGCAGTGGAATCGTTCAGTTACACGAGCTGAAGAATCACAGTGGGAGTAACTGTGCTTCCTATACTGTCCAACCACCATCGGTCCAGCTGGACGACGGAGAACAACAATTGCTTCCAATCCACAGACGCGCGTGGTCCCACCACCCATACCGCTCGTCTAAAAAATGTTTAGAAGGCAAAAGCACGACCAAACTCTTCTACAGGGCCTACACAATACTATTAGTCGCTCTTTTAGGCGAGAATTTCGTGCAGAGCTTTCTTCATGAGCTCCTTGTCCACCCCAGACGGGTCACCGATCCTTCCCTGAGGCGATAGCTAAAGGCCACTTTTTGTTTATGGGGCTTATACTGAAAAATATTGCACACCATGCTTATGAATGCAGTAAAAAAAAGGAAAGGAGACAAGTAAATAAAAATTCTTCGAATTACAAATGTGGAATATAGGGATACCATAAAAAGCAAGGAGACAAGACAGGGATGACCTTGTGCATGTGATGATGGGATGATGGTTACATCTTCAAACTGACTTTGCTTACTCGTGTAAATTTTACTCCACACAAGCCCTATATTGTCGCCACTCTTACTCATGACATGAACTTTGAATAATTTAGTGTGAAGACTGGCAAACGAATTCTGTAGAGAAAGTGGCATTGTAAAACTGGTTAGTTGTGAAGTAAACACGGTCACGATTCAAAACTGAGGACCTGTCAGAGAGGGCATTTGCTACCAGTCTTACTTGAATAGGAAACGAGTCACAGCTGCATATCATACGATAGAGAACACTCGTGCTTTGCGACAATATAGGGCTTGTGTGGAGTAAAATTTACACGAGTAAGCAATGTCAGTTTCAAGATGTAACCATCATCCCATTGTACTAATTCATCACATGCACTAGGTCATCCCTGTCTTGTCTCCTTGCTTTTTATGGCATCCCTATATTCAACATTTTTAACATTGTTCCTGTTTTTAATTCTCAGGATTTATTATTCACTTGTTTTAATTCAGCAGACCAGTACGTATTTGTATGGCCCTCGTGCTATGGATGCCACATGATTACACACCTTCTGATTCATGGGTTATCCAACATACAATCGACGAGCAGGGCAGTATGTGCAAGGAGTATGTTACCAATTTCATTCAGCAGCCAAGAAATAACGCAGAGTAAATTTCTCATGGAATTGTGTACAAAAACAAATTTAATGCAAGTCACATTACCTCCAATGCTTGCGCTAGCTCAGTGATATTAAGGACCATACCAGTTCGTGGATCAACCTAGGGAGGAAAATAGAAGAGACTACATAGTAACTAGAAAAACTCTTAAAGAGTTCGTTTCCAAAGACAACCAGTTAGACCGTATTTTCCTGTATTCCACAGTGCACATAGAACCTCTCACGTTCAAGAGCACTACATGTCAAGGTAATTTATAAGAGCTATATATTCATGTCGGTGGCTGTTGCAACTAATAAAGGTTAAGGTAGATTAGAGGGTCATAAATATGTATAAAGGGTTGTATAACCTCTACCCCGGTAGTTGGGGTCTGTCGGTCTGTTTATACCTCGGTCTGATCTGCTTGTTCTGCGTACTTCGGAGGCACCAGAAGTTGCAACGCAGGGAGTGTATCGCGACAGCGTTCTTACCTGGATTATGAAGTCCCTCCTTCCCGGGCATACCACCGGGGTAGGAAAGCGGGTTCTGATCGGAAACGGCCTGCCGTGTATCCAGAAGAAACTGCTCGACAAAATCCGCAGTTGGGAGTATGTCGAACTCTCAGAGCTCCTTCCGCGGCGAACCCGACAGTGGCCTCCTCTTCATCGGGTACCCCCGCAGCTCGTTTTTCCCTGTTCCCAGGTTGCGAGGTGGTGCGGCACCGTAAACGCCAGAGTTCGAACATATCTGATTGGTGCCAGGCGTTCGCCGTTTACATGGCTGCTCTGGTTAGCCAGCACCCGTCAGCTACGCTGGAGCTGCTGGGTCTACACGATCACAATCATTAAGGCCAGCCAGCAATATGATGGACTTTACTGGCGGGCGTACGACACAAACTATCGGCAGACGGCCGCAGCGACCGGGAATCACAACTGGTCGCACCTCGACACGGACCTATTCACAGGGAGGGCGCGTTTGGTTCTGTGTGCGACAGCGTCGTGAAGATTGCCCGGAAGTCTACTTTGGGCAGGCACCAAGCTCGGGGCTGCGAAACTTGGGCACCGGAAGCCAAACGGCGCAAGCTGTTGCGCACTTGGGCCCCTCATGTTTGCGCAGAGTTCAACGCCAAGGGTAACTGTTCCTTTGGCGCTCAATGCAAATTTCGCCATGCCTATGGCAACTGCAATGGGGATCATCCAGCTAAGTCATGTCCGTCCTCGAAGCAGTAGCGTCGTATGTCCCACTCGGGCTCGCTGGCCTTGCCCTACCGGTGTATCCACAGCGTATTAGGTCATCGACGGCAGTATATTCTATATATCCATATTTATTGCGTGTGTGTATATACTTACGTATGTGGCTCTGTATCGTTTCGTCTGTTATTCTATTCACCTTCATACTCGCCTCTCTCTATTCAGCCCTACTTTGTGTCGTGTGTTGTTCACCACTGCATAATATTTTCACATGTTCATTGCGTCATGCTGCGGCTGAGTGGGGCTACCGCTGTGGACCCCGGGCGTTCGGCATCAGGGATACCCGTTGCTACTCCTCTTACCTTATGGGGCGTGATAATTTTTCCATCATTATTGTCATGCATGTCGTGGGGGTGTCCTTGTGCCGCTTCGGTGGCAGTCTGTGATGAGAGCTATCATTGCGGCGTATATCTCTTTTTCCCATGCAGGTCGGCCGGGGGTGGTGGCCGGGGCATCCGGGGAAGAGAAGTACCGGTACATGCGTCAGCTATGAGGTCTGGCAAAGTGCACCCCTACCACCGCTGACCGGCTTCCAGTGTTCCTGTCCGATGTAGTCACCCCCCTCCGCTGGCAGGCATGGGAGAACGCGCTGCGCCTTCATCCGGACCAAGAATTCGCGCGTTACATTTGGCTGGGATTTCGGTAGGTTTCTGGATCGGGTTCCTCCGAAGCTCACACCAGAAGTGCACCCGGAATATGGGGTCGGCGTATGACCACCCCGATATTGTGTCGTCTTATTTGGAGAGCGAGCGAGCGAGCGAGCTCACGGACGAGTCAAAGGCCCCGTACCATCTTCGGCGGTCACCGCGCAGGTCAGCTTTTGGGTCATCCCCAAGCATCACCAACCAGGCAAGCGGTGGCTCATCCTGGACCTGTCTAGTCCTCAAGGGAGAAGTGTGAACGACGGGATCCTTCGGTGCTCCTTCACATACATTTCGGTCGCAGAGATCGCGTCGGTCGTCCTTAGCCTTGGACAGGGCTAATTCCGACATAAAACACGCCTATCGGCAGATACCGGTACACCCGGACGATCGGTGGCTACTAGGAATGCGAGTTTGTTTTACATTTCCACGCGGTTTGATTTTGACATTGTGGTTCGTCACACCCCCAGCATGGCCAATGTTGCAGCGGACGCTATTTCCAGGAATAACATCCCTCTTTTTCGTTCGCAGGTCCCGGGAGCCTCCTTCTTCCCAGCGCCCGTCCCTCCGGAGTTGGCTACGGGCCTCAGTGCTCCATCCCCAGCGTGGAGATCGCGAGACTGGACATCCTGGCTCGGTTAGCCAGGCTCTAGCATCGTCTACGCAACGGTCTTACCAATCCGCCCAGCGTCGGTACTAGGACTTCTGCTCCCGCGTCTCCATACCACCACCAGTCCCAGTCTCTCAATCCACTTTGTGTTCGTTACTCATTTAGCCGCTCCAGGTGTAACTCATAAATCTATCAAATGCTACTTGTCTGCCATCCGTCACCTTCAGATAGCGGCGACCGGCTCTGAGCCTCAGATAAGCAGCATGATCTCGTTGGACTATGTTCTGCAGGGTATCAAGCGGGCTCAGGCGGCACCGGGGCACACTGCCCCCCGCCGCCGTCTCCTTATTACGGCGGCGATCATGAGGTCCCTAAGACGATCCTGGGAGGCCCAGGGAGCTTCCTTCGACTGTGGGCTGCATGTTGCACATGTTTTCACGGTGTTTTACGATCTGGGGAGGCCACGGTCCCTTCGCAGTCAGCTTACAATCCAGACGTACATTTCTCGATGTCCGACGTGTCACTCGATTCGTCAACCAATTCCAGAGCCATCATCTCCACTCTGGCTGGTTTCACAGATTTGTTCGTTCAAAACTCTGAACACTTCGTCGAGATCATGGCCGAAGTACAATTGGACCCAGAGGAAAGTCTTGTGAGTTTTATTCTCATCTCTTTTTACAAACGTTCCAATCAAAGAGGCAGTAGGGTACACAGACAATTGCTGGAAGGCAGCACACTTGAAGCGAGGACAGACCTGCTGTCAGATAGTATTGCCGAGCTGCTTGAATTGTGGAAACGATACGTTGACGACACATTCTGTATGATCCAGTCTGAAGCAGGGGGGGGGGCTACTTCTTCACCTGAAAAGCATCCGATCTTCAATCAAGTTTACTATCGAAGCAGAGCAGAATGGTACCCTCCCTTTCCTGGATGCCTTAGTGTGACGGAAGGAAGACGGCTGCCTGGACTTCAGTGGTCGCTACCTCCACTTCAACTCACACCATCCAACCTATATGTAAAACGTAGACTGGTCAGATGTCTATACCATCGAGCTGAGATGGAACTCTAAGTAAGGAGAGAAAACACCTACGCAAAATGCTCAACGTCAATGGATACCCGAACAGGTCTCTACAACAGCTTGCTTGCACGAGGAGGCCGAGCAGAGCAGGACACCACCACCCACTATCTCCATCCCCTATGTTTCTATTGTCAGTGAGAGCGTTAGGAGGGTTTGCAGGGAGTATGGCATTCGCGTGACTTTCAGGTCTGGACAGCGCATCTCTGACTAGGGTGAAGGACCCTCTCACTCTGGAGAAACAATCTATGGTGGTGTACCAGAATCCCCGGCTCCTGTGGCCTGGTGTAGGAAAGGGGGCTTGAGACATGGTTGAAGGAACACAGGGAAACCTACAGCAGAGGACAGACAGAAAAACCGGCCATTGCGGAGCTTGTGTGCTATCAGATGGGATGACGTTGTGGTATTGGACCGTGGAAAGGGACACCGAGAGCTACTTGAAAGAGGCATTGCACATCTGCACCACAGCTAAGGGCAAAAACTTCAACCGTGACCAGGGTGTTGAGCTATATGACTATTGGTTAACAGCAGTGACCAGGTATGAGAGTCACAGCCGCACTGGCTATCGTCACAGACAAGTCGGCCACCAGTCAACCTGAGAGCCATGTTGAAAACATTCCATTCAGTCTGATAAGTAGGTTATACTGCGCGTCAATGGAAATACGCTATTTAGACGGCACGAGGGGCCCTGAGCTGTAGCTGTCTGAGCGCAGCGAAGACGTTACTAAGGGCTCCGAGGCCATCTAAATCGTGTATTTCCATTGACAAGCAGTATAACCTGTTTAGACAGAGGCCGTGCTGGCCGTCAAAATCGTCCAGGTCCGTCGTCTTCCGCGAGACTCGCTCTCGCTGGGGGAAGCTAAAAAGGTCTTCATTTTAGTTTCTTTTTGCATCGTAGAGAGGCCTTTCATCGAAGAAGCATAGGATATAGCGAGTTTAAAGTCGCCGCGGCGAGCTCTCAGCGACAGAGCGAGTTTCTTTGCGCGGAAGCCCCCATCGAAGACGCCATTTTTTGGCGGGCGTCTCCGTGGAAGCACGCACTTGGAAAATACGGGATTTAGAATCCACGTTATACGCAATCTGATTGGTCAATTTGAATCTGCCGACGTCTAAAAACAATCACTCATGCTGTACACTGCCTTGAAGAAGTCCAGGTCAAAACATTATCTTACATTCATAATATTCTTTGTTGCCTGCAAGTCACTCTAAATGATCTTTATACTTTCGAATCAGCTAAGGACTCTTATTCGGGGAAGCTGGCATCAAGCCACGAGGAAAAGATCGCATCAGCTAGTTTTGTGACAAACGAGTAGGGTATAATTATAGTTGCAAGCTGCCACCTACGGTAACAGGTTTGTAGTCCAATAAAACTAGTTTGACTCGGGTTGGATAAAATGCATTTTGGGCAGACCATTTTTGACTACTAATAGATATGGTCTACAATCTTATTGACAATTGTCGGTAGGTAATAGGGTGTTCCGTCAGTGCATAGTATACCTATGGGTACGGATTGTGCAGCTTTATTGGCAAATTTATATCCATTTCCCATTTCACTTTGAGTACATATATACTGTATGTAAGTACTAATATGTCTGAAGCAAAAGCATTTTCTAACACCTTTCGGTACATCGACGATCTTCTCACTTTAAATAACCCCTCTTTTAAGAATGTGATAAATGAATCTGAGCTTGTGTTGAAAAAAAATGCTATGGTTTCATATTTGGATGTAATAAAGGATGGTCATTTTACCACCACCGTCTATGATAACAGAGATAGTTTCAACTTGAGCAGCAATATTCCCACGGGACATTTATATATCTCAGTTAGTGAGAATTGGGCGAATTTGCACACCTATGATGAATTTATTAAACGGAATATGATGATTACTACGTTGTGCGCCTATATAATGAGTTGGTTGGCAGGTTCAACATTTTTTATGTGAGATATATACATCTAGGATAGATACAACGTTGGTCTAAAGAGACATGTTTATGAAGGCATATGTGGCCTGTATGTTGGACGACCATCCTTGTACAGACATGTAACCACATGACGACGGCATTTGTAGATTCTGGCCAGCCCTACATTCCTTTAGAGGAAGGATCTCACTGTGCTTTGCTTCCTGTTGGCCTGCGTTATATGTTGCTTGCTCTTAATTCAATTTCTCTGCTGTGTACAGTTTTCGTCAATATTGAGGTGTGTTTGGGGTGACTGTTGAGAAAGGCTTGGGTGAGTGAGGGAGAGTTCACCGGTGATAAGACTCTTTAACCTACCATCCCTGGTTCTCAAGGCCGGGGCACCCTTTTATGCCTAGGTCATGCTAGCTCACCTCTCTAATGGTACTGCCCTACACTAGCGTTTTACATGTTATTTATGTGCTGATGTGTTCCTAGCCTTTTGCACCGTTATATCCCAGATTCCTTAAAAACTTTTATACCGCCTGTGTCTGTACCGTCTGTGCCCGTTGTATGTCATTTCACCGCCATCGTGCATCAGCTCACGTGTTTTTGCGAGTCCCAAGTAAGCCCTTATGGTTGTATGTGTGTTGTAGCCCTTCCGAAGTCCTGTTTTCATTTTCTTTCTTTCTACATATGTATATAGCGTGAGCTGTTCAGTTTTCGTGGACCCGAGCTGTTGGCATCAACGGCACTCCTTGCCAGGAGCAGACTCACAAACCAACTTGAGCATCCAACTCTTGATTTTGCTGACCGATTTGTTGTGCTTGTTTATCTCTCTCTTGGCAGGTCTGAGAAGTTGCAGTTGAGGTGAAGCTCACAGCTAGCAGAGCCCCGGTGAATGCATGGGGTTGTTTGTGCTGACCGATTTGTTGTGCTTTATCTCTCTCATGACAGGTCTGAGAAGTTGCAGTTGAGTGTGAGGCTCAAGGCCTAGCAGAGCTCCAGTGGATGCATGGGGTTGTGTTCTAGCGGAGCAGAAAGGCCTGAAGTGCCCATTCCATGTCACCTTGACATCCTGCTTCATTGACTGCAACATACGTTCTGCTGCACCATTACTCAACAGGTGGTAAAGGGCAGCTGGTATGTGCTTCACCCACTCATAGCAAACTCCTGAGAGGCAAACTTGGAGCTGTTGTCCGAGATTAGCAATCATTTAACGAACACTTATAACAGAATTCGTGCTGGGCATTGTTTGGACTTCTGGCAATTTGGAATGAGCCCCCACAACCACCAACTGCATTTTACTCTGGATTAGACTAGCATAGCCAATCCTCTCCCATGCTGAGGTGGAGTGAGATCTTGGCAGAATGGCACCAGGGTATCTGGAACCCTAATGGCCATCCTGCCCTCACACTCCTTTATGATGGGGCCTGAAGCCGTTACTGCCTGGATAGCGGGTGTCTGTGACTCTTGCATATCTTCATTGCCATCTTGCCTCCCATCAGGGAGTGCAAGGCTAGACAAACCGTTGGCAACTCCGTGAGCACATGTGGAATTGGTATTGTATGTCCAGCAACAATAATAGCCAAACGATGCAGACAGGCAGCCGCCAGCGGTAAAACAAGGTTGTAGCACAATGTGTGGGCATATCAAAGGTGCCGACAGTACAAAAAATGCCATATTACAAACAGTTGGGAAATTGTAAAATTTATTGAACAGTCGCACGCGGGCAGGCCAACTGTCCCACGAGCTACCAAACTTACTGGGAGCTACTCCACGTGTGGTAGTCGAGTCTTTGCTGGCCTGTCAACACGTGGGAGTTCGACCGTTCACTGAAAATCTTGCTACAAACCCGTTAAAGCACCGCTCTAGCTCGTATACTATGGTTAATTGAACTCGGTTTGCGGTCGAGAGACGATAATGCACGAGGCGCAATAATACCTGTAGTACTCTCGAATGGTGCTTTAACTAATAGATATGTACATATAGAAAACTTATGGGATTTCTAGCGATATGGTATCCACAGTCCTCTGGAACACTGCGGACACAGAGACCACTCCAAACTGGAGTCTAGTAAACTCATATAAGCACTAATGTGTGTTGACTGCTACCAGTTTATCCGACTCTTCATCCAACGGCATCTGCTGGTAGGCAGCTCTAAAGGAAGAGTTAACTAAAACAAATCCCTCTTATCAGACATGCCATTAGATCAATGGGCTTTAATGGTCCACCAATAAGGAGAGGTTGATAGTGACCTTGCAGTTACCATCACTAGCCAGTCCAACAAAAAATTTAAACATACACAGTGTTTCCCGCAGGGTAATATTCAAGCAGGGTGATTATGAATTACGTCCGCTTTCAGGCTGAAAACATTACTTGCTACTCACGTTCAAAGTACAACTGGCCTAAAGCCTTTCAAGTGCTACTCTCTAAGCAGCGCATTACTGCGCACAGTGTAACCGTGCTAGTTGCATTTTACGCATGTGCAATAATTGTACACGCCCATTTTCGGGATTTTTCAATCCGGGCGGAGCGCCCGGTTGTTACAATGCTGCGGGAAACACTGATACAGTAAAGACCTTAAAGTGACAAACCAACCTCTTACTTACCTCTCCTTTAACAGTTGCTTTCACTGTAGGAAGAAATATACAATGTCTTTTGATATTCACTATATTCACTATTTGTACCTAATGAAATTGTTGGCACATGTGCTCAGAGTTTACATTGCAAATTTCACATAAAAAAAAGTTTCACATAAAAATTGCATGCCATGGAATGTGTAATAAGGCGCATTTACACTCCTCATTCTGCGGGAGAAGGGAGCATCCTAGACATAACTGCATTGTAAGATTTAGAATTGATCAGCACTAGAAACAACAAAGAGCGTGAAAGAAATGAAGACTGAAAAGTCCGCAAGCTGGGAAGGGCTGACTTCCTCTGAACATTATAAAATTGATAGTAGGTGCTACACAATTTGGTACGTAGAGTGCGCTCACATAAGGCTAGGTTCACAATATGTCGCATTTGCTAAGTGTTGCTTCTTTATGCTAATACGAGGCAACATTGGAAGCATATTACCTTTAGGGTAGGTTTACAATGCATTTCCACGTCGCCATTCCGTGTCAAGCCGTGCAGTGACATCTATCCTTGCACCATGCCTGCCACGTCGGGAGGATAAAATCCATTTCTATTTTAGTGGCACGACGTGACAGGGCAATGTGACACTAGCCTAAGGGTGATATGCATGCAATGTTGCCCGTCTAATGTATTTATCATTATGCACACTTTAAAAAATACACACAGTAAAGAATCAGCAGATGACACGGGCAACCTACCTACGTAGTTGTGTCCATGGGTGTTGAAACATTTTCCAAACAGTGCTTTATTTTCTTCATCAGACAACTGTGGGCTAGTAAGTTATGGTAGTTACATCTGTATCAGACAACTCAGAGGAAGTCGTGAAAGGACAAACACACAAAGTGTTATTCTTCAGCACGAGGTCTCTCACTTAGAGTTAAAACTCTTTGGGGCCCAAAGCACCTCGAAGGTGAACTTACGTCACTAAAACGCAACGGAAACGCAACGCAAAAAAAGAATTCGCGAAAGAAAGAAAAGAAGGTGGGATTCGAACTAGGGACCTCCCGTGTTGAAGTGCACTACCTTACCCCTGAGCTACTCTCCTGAAGTAGGCTAAAACGTTACCTATATTCGGGATTACGTAGGCAATTGTGCCTGTCATGTGGACCCCAATGACAGTATTTTATGACACAAATTCCTGTGAGTTTTTCTGCTCTTCTCCGAGAACTGATTGAGGGCAGGCAGAACCTATGACCTACATATTATACATGGAGCTTTATATACCAAGTTTCATGTTGCAGCCCTGACTTGTCCTGTCTGCAGAATGCAGGAGGTCCGATCATGACCAGTGCAACATGGATGTAGTTAACCACAGGGCTTTCTTTGTGTGCACCCTAAGCGCTTTGAAAGCTCTAGCATGGGAATAGGGTTACAGTACCATACTTCGATCCCGGTATATACCCTTGCGGAGATATGTGCTGTGGTATGTGGCCCTACAATTACGTCTGCAGACTCCACGGGTTGTGCAAACCCCCGGCGGTGCTGATTACGCATAATATGGCCTTATTTGCTGGTTTTCACATTTTACAGCATATCGCCATTCTATTCGTATTCCAAAGCCGTCAGTATTGATCAAAGGCCGCCTTGTAACCTGTAGTACCAGAATGGCTTGACATACACAGACCAAGTACTGGTGCCAATGGTTACCTCACCACACCCACTATTGCTATCAGGCTCAAGCTATCTTCACTGTTTGGATGCCCTTTACAATTACCTGGCGCTTTATTGGGAGCATATTGTGCGTTTTGACATCATATCCAGATGTAATGCAGGAATAACACAAAGAGGTAGATAGGGATGGATAATTTTACTAAGGCTCGTTTGCCGGATCCCTCATTTATGCGTAACATCAACACCTTTCCACTCGGGGAAATGCTACCAGAGGCCCAGTAGCTACCCTGCTCCGTAGCTAGATAGAGTGGTTATCCGCTACAATCCTTGTTTGCTGACCTTCTTAAATAGTGTGCGGCACAAAAACTGACTCTTCTGGTAGCATACACTGTACGTCGTCCACGTGCAGTTCCACCACCCGATTGGGACCCAGGAAGGGATGCCATTTGCGCGAGGATCGCAGGGAGGGCCAGCACGATGCATACAACACGCGACACGTGTATGAGGTCGAAGTGTAGATACGAAAGTGATCGCGGCAAGGTGGAAGAGCATGAATGAAATAGGAGGTAGTCGGGTTGTATTCCTGGTCGACGTCAGTTGCGCCGCCTCAGACGTACAGTCATACCATAGGTCACTCTGCTTTGAGTGCACCAAAGTCCTCTTCTCCCTGTCGGTGTTTCCCTCAAGAAATTGTGTGAAATGGAAGCTATTACCTCTAAGAGTTGACGAACCTGTCGCGGGGAGAGTACCTCCGTTTGTGGATCTAACCTTGGATTCAATGAAAACCCTGTTCAAAGAGATAGGATATGAACTGTTTAAAAATGTTGACAAAGATGTGAAGCCATTGCCCTCGACTGTGTTATCCTCTACTGTCGCTACTGTTGTGCAGGGTTGCTTGTGGGATTCACCTGACATCTATTCACCTCCAAAGAGAAAGCCCTCAAGGGTGTCAGATCCAATGAATATCATATTTGTGTGCAGCAGATGTCCAGAAAGATTGCAGCAGATTGTATCTAACGATCTTCATGCCTGCCTTCTGAAGCAAAATGTGCACCTTATTTGCCTAAGTGAGAAGGGTGTCATTAGAGAAAAGGTATTATTGTTGTAGTGGAGGACTTCTGGGGTGTTTGCTGAACTTTTGAAAGTGGCTGGAAAGTATCTGTATTTTTCTCTTCACTCTCAGGATGCTGGGATTATGCCACTATTAAGAGATGTGGTGTTGCCTTTTATTGAGCCAATACCTCAACCTGCTAGTGTTATTTTGTCCCACCAGACATCATTTGCAAGTAAGCTTAATAGAAGGGGGAACAAACCTCTCTTCCCTATTTACTCAGCAACCTATATTTTAGGACCTGAGTGCACCATCAGTGGCAACCCTGAAATGTTTTGGCTCTGCACTAGCACAGGTATCTGACTTTTATACTAGAAGGTGAATGCAGGGCATTTTGGTGAGCGGGAGTGAGCATGCATACCACTGTATCTGCATGTCCTAGCCATCCTAGCCTATTTATAACCTGCACCCCTGAACCGAGAAGATTGGAAAGAGGTATAGCCTCGGTCAGGCATTGCTCCCGCTCGCCAATGACACAAGTAACACATACAGTTTGCTGATTTTTATATTACGTCACATATTCACACTTGGTCTGTGTGCGTCTTCTGCACCTCACGTTTAAAGTAACCCAAAATTATACTTGTTAACCCTTGGTGTGCATGTGCAGTGATGGTTACAGTACTGTCCATTTGTCCGTCTGTTTTCACGTTTTCTGCCGCTACCCACAACAAGACGGCCACCAACGGGTTCAGTGCCCCACTGGCTTTATTTAAAAATGGAAATTTGCTGTGTTTGAAAGTTATAGCGTGAAAACCAAGAAACCGAGTGAACGACCTAATATGCAAATTAGCACTTGCTTACCTCGACCAGATCCACTTGCTCTGCGTTCATTGGAGGCACTATAAGTTTCAATGCTAGGCGATTATTGACTCCCGCATGCTATCGAGTAGTGTAGCTATAGCCTGTCTGATTCTCAGTGAGCTGGTAAGAGAACACAAGTCAGTAACAAAACTGGCCCAGCCCAGTACCGCGCATGTGTATACTTCCGCACACTTGCCTTTCTTGTGCGCTGAGGGTTTACACTTGCTTTTCAGTAAAGACGTTTTCAATAAAGTAACTTTTTCTACAAACATTTCTAAAATTTTTCTAACATCACTCTCACCTTTGCCTACGTCATTATCAGGCCAGCAAACGCCTTTTCCCAAAGCATACATACAGCAAAACTAACAGTCTCCTATCACTGTCTTTACGCAACTCTGTACATCACGTTCAATTGTAGTGAATGCTTATTTCGTGATAACTTCGACCCACACAGCAATGTGCCTAATAAAGTAAGGAGTGTGTCAAACATTCACACATTTTAATTTACTTGGCCTATCAATACATAGAAGCCATGCATTTGGCATCATTCTCATATGAGCTGAGAGTTATACTGAAGTGAGAGAAGTGTATGAAGGTCTAGGACGGGAAAAGGTGTCATGCATATGTGCTAGGGGTCAAGTAGAAGGTCTTCTGGGTGATTGGGCTTGAACTGTAGGTAGTTGCAACGTTTTCTGCAATCACACGCAACAAGGTGGCGAACTAGCGACACCAACGGGTTCAGTGCTACACTGGTTTTATTTGAAATTAGGTGGTTTTAAGAGGTAATTACAGCTCGAAAACGAAGTGAACAAGCCAATACTACTGGCTTACCTCAACCTCATTCCGCCTCTGTGTGTACCGTGGAGACATCAGAAGTTGCAACAGAAGTCTTGTGATGCCTATAATGCTACTGCTAGCCCCTTTCAAAAGCTAGTAAAAGACTGAGACCACATGTAAATCTACAGAGTAGCTCGGCCCATCAATTAGGACCTGCGGATGCGTCTGTGTGCAGTGTGTGTACCCATCATGTGTACGTGTCTCCTCTGAGGGTGTGCTTTTCTGAGGGAGGTGTATCTGGTGATGGACACAGTTAGAGCATGAGCCTGAGTGGACTGGAGTATGGCTAAGCTTGCAGAAGAAGGAAGTCAGTCGATGTGTGTTATAGAGAGCTGCTGGGTCTTCAAAACTTGACCATTTTAAAATTAATCTTGTGGTTTTATAAAGCTATTTTCTGATCCTGAACATTTTCATTGTTAAGTGAGTGAACTCTTCACTGCAATTGTGATGTTGACCACCACCAGTTTATTAGATAACCAAGAGCAACCCTGAACCTCTCAAGTTTGAGTTTAAACAAGAACACACTCATATTTGTAGCAAATGTCATGGGCTTAAATCCCAAAAACTGATTTCCGATGTCACTCTTAATAAGTATACCTTAGAGCTCCTGGAGAAATCGAGAGTCTGGACATAAATCTTCAAAAACATGCCAAAGAAGCTGTCTTTACCCTCTATGATCTCGCAGCTCCTGCATTGCATGGACTTTGAGCTGAACTATGTACTAAAACAGATCACGAACATAGATATAAGTTGTGCTTTAACACCCTCCCAACAGCCCCCCACACCCCCAATGTATTGCAAGATATGACCAAGCACTGACAGTCAGAGGACCTATGGTGCTCCAGTCTTGTGTGATGATTCCTTATCTCTCAGTTTAAGCCTTCTGGGATGAACTAATCGTAATACTTCTACATTGAAACCTCAAACCACTCCAGAAGAAGACATTCCTTGGCAGACATCAAAGAGTGGTTTGGCGCTCTTTGAGGGCTATGTTATCTCTGAAGTGGCCAGTGGAGAGCTTATTATCTAAAGGTAGACACAGATTTCAATGTAAGTTACACAGTGTGGAAGTGGACAACTTTTTTCATGGTTTTCAGAGCTAATTTCAATTGCTAGTTTCAACAGCATGAGTATGAGATTCCAGAGGTAGTCGTTACATAAGATGCTTACTTGAGGAAAGTATACACTGGTGTGTTAAGTACAAATAGAGATTTTGTCATCCTGTGTCAATCCAAAGCTCGAGGACTTGAGAAAGGGCCCATTACAAAACAAACACACTGTGTTTTGTTCAGAGAAGAGACAATGCAAGAATAGTATTTATAATCTCTGAGTTAAAGGTTGGTTTTTTGAAGAGGTATAAACTCACTACTGTGACCACAGCGGAGATCTGTTGTGGACTAATCGAAGTGCTTGCTACTAGCACCTTTATTGTCATGAACAATAGGCAGCAAGGGTCCAAGACTTTGGAAGTGACTGAGACCATCGTTGATGCTCACATTATATATAATATATAGGGTCTACCTTAATACTGAACGGAGACAGTGGTTCAAAACAAGCATGCTTTCTCTGCTGTAAGGTTACAGCCTTTGAACCTGGAGTGGTCACTACATTTAGAAGGACTTATGATAGTCAGCCATCCTCGCTCATTGCTCGGGTAGTGATTGTTATTCTTTCAATTGTGATTGAACTAGTATTGAATGTGAAAATGTGGTTATCTCTCCATCATATTGGCATGATCTTTTTGTGTAAGACTGCTAGCAACACATTTAATTTACAGTTGTTCTATAAATATTTTGTTAACCCTCGGTGTGCAAACAGAGGAAGGGTTAGTTTTCCACCCCATGCAAAAAGTAAAGCAAGGGTCACCGAGCCACTCAATCGTGATTTGCTAGCATATTACAGGAACAGCGGTATCCAGCTGCCCTGTAGCTCTCCTGTACTGGTGACCATAAGTCACGTTGGAGTCATCCTAAAACCGTATCAGCTAGGGAAGTCGAGATTAATACAATCCTTGAAAGGGGGAAGAAGAGAAGAGTGTTGATGATGGGATTGATTCGCGCTGTCATATGCCTCTGTCAATGATGTGGTGAGGTGCATCGGCACTCTGTGCCGGGGGGCATTGTTGATATCACCAATGCAAGCATGGCAGTCCTTTTCATCTGGTGGATAGACCGCTCCTCGGGTGGGTAGGGCTACACCTTTCAGTCTCTGATTGGCCCTTAAGCTCTTCATGGCCATGGCAAAGTGCGATGTTGTGGGTGATCAGAAGGCGAGGCGTCATTCCTGGCATGCCCTACTTGTTGTAACCCTTCATTAACCATAAAGGGGTCGCCTGCCTCTGCAAGACTATGGCTTCCAAAACGTAAGTATATGACAAATGGGTTGCAGCCACTATCACTGCTGTAGTGTTTGTATGACTGGTTCTCCCTGCCTTAGACACTTTTCTGCATATCTTTGCCACTGCTGCACCAGTTGCAGCACGTATATAGAGTTTCTGTAGCTGGAGGTACAGACTCACACCAACGTGTATATATTGAAACCCAGCAATAATCCTGACCTACAATAAAAGTGTACTGCTGTTGTTTTGTTTGTCTGCAGAGGGTAATCCTTTGTGTGTCGTTGAAGTTGAGCCTGTACTGACATCTGCACCTCATTGCACATTTATGTCAAGTATACAGAACTGCAACCTTGTAGTAGTTGGGAAATGTGATACACCCCAATATAAATTTGTGCCTAAAAATGAAGGTGAGACTATACTAATGTACGATTATGTGCATTTATTATTTTTCCTTTTCCCTTTCTAAGGTAATTTTGCAGTAATGATTGGTGTGATCAGAGAAGATGATGTGAACAGTTCATACTTACAAATGAGCTACTCATCATTCACTTGCACTGGTCTCTGTGTTCATTCATCTTCCTTTGATGCAAGTGACGATATGCAGCAAAATGGACTTGAAGCATCAACAGAGCCAAAACCGTTTTCACAGGAATACCAGCATCTCTGTGCAAATTTGGCATCTAACAAACTTTGTTTGGTATGTAGTACCTGTTAGAATTTATGTACTGATTTGATCTTGTCTATGGTATATAGCACGTAATTAATTGTACAGGCTATGTGTTCATGTTAAACAGCTGTAGCATTTTTAGACTTGGCATACATGTGAAAACTACGAGGTAGAAAGGCAAAGGCACAACAAACAAATCAACTACACCCAGGTGGGATTCGAACCCACGACACTCTGCAGTCTAGGCGAGCGCTCTACCAACTGAGCTACCAGGGCAACTCAGGTGGTAGGGGTTCGAATCTCCAACACAATACAACACAAGACTGAATAAAAACTTGGTTACTACAACTAGCTTCTGGTATTCATAATATGAGCTAAGCTTTGCATTCTGTATGAATCCACAGCTAGCTTGCAGGCTAATATAGCAACCACACATACTAGAAAACCAATTCATAACTATAACAACTCAGATGATCTAACTTCCTTGGTTTGATAAACCCCACTCCCCTCTGCTGCCTCACGTGCTCCACAACAGTTGGTTCTCGCTCGCCAGTCACCATGGACATGCACGAGTGCCTGCTCAGCAGTGGACTCAGTTCCCTATTTTGACCAGTTGTCACAAACTAATGATTACACCTTGTGATTCTGCTGTCAATCAGACTCTGACAAGCAATATTCTTGGGTGGCATCTGGTACACAATCCTTGAGAGACAGCAGTCCATTGTAAATAGAGCAATTTCAACTAGGTTTTTGATCCAGTAACCTGTCCTTGAAGTAGCGTATGGTACTAATTAATAACTGTGTGCTGACCCTGCTTATGCCCTCACCTCTAACTGTGCAGTTACTCGAAGTGAGAACTAATACTGGTGACACTGCATGGTGTATACTTCAGCCACTGTGGTCAGTTATGAGTTTGCTCACTGTTTTAAAGCCTCCAACCACATGCAACCTTGACTCCGCATTGTCAACTTCCAATCTATGTAAGTACATATTCCATATTTGCTGGAGTATGAGTTGCACCCAGAACAGTTTTAAGTCACAACCATGAGGATGAATATTTTACTCTGGTTTTTGCTGCAAAAATGTGTCAGATGACATTGATCCATTTGGCTCTTCACGTGATATAGCATCCAGCATGTTACTTCAGCTATTCTGTCACCACAGCTTATGGGCCATACTAACGTCTTCAGAACTACGAAGGTATGGAAAAAACGACCACATTTAAGAGATATTGCATGAAGAGAAGCAATATATGATAGTCAGCACTGGCTCACCTCAACCAGGTTTAGCTCATTCAATGCACCTTGGAGTACTAGGAGGACAAGTATCAAGTCCAGTGTTGCTGTAAATGCTACCTACTGGTGCAGCTGTATGTCGAGCGTAAAAAAGTGGTTCTGTTTAGACCGCTTATTGTGCACATCTCATCACCTGCATGTGTGCATGTGTTAGCCTTTGATTGCTTTTTGTTAACCCTCCCCTGCGCACATGTGCAGTGAGAGTTATTGTAATCGGTCTATGTAATCTGGAGCAGAGACAACTGCATAGGTGGGCGGGATGGCGATGCGGTTGCGGTGGTAAGGAGTGTGCATTAATTGGAGATCGCGGTCCGCTTTCGCGTTCCGGCCGGTTCATGTACCACGATCATGCGAGGTGTAGCTGATGAAGTGTGAATGGGAATGATGAAGGAGACACAGGCTGCACTTGCAACAATAACTGGTTCGCATGTAAATGGCCTTGTCATCCATCTGAACGGACTAATACGAATTTTTTCGTTACAAATACTCTAACCCTGTTCTTTTGGCTACTTAATCAGACATGCTTATCATAAGCATCATAACAGCGAGGGTTATGCACCCTAAAGTGGTTGTAGTTAGATATACAAGTTGGAGTACAGTACTTAGCTTTTTAAACATGCACTATAGTCGGGGCATGCATTTTTCAGATGATGAGCATATGTCAGTTCAGCTAAAATAATTCCATTAGGGTGAGAGACTAACACTAAGTTGGTTACTAGACAATGTGATGAAGCTATTTACCAGTCATCCATATATAACACTTGTCAATGTCTTACATGTGTGTATATACCTTTTTTACACTTTGCATTTTTCATTTATGCCTTGCAGGGGATTCTAGTATAATGGATGAGCTATATTGTGTTCAACATCTGTCGAAATGCATAACTTACCCGGAGCTATACTACAAACTAGCACGATCTTATTCTGGGAGCACAGGTACACAACCAGCAACTTTTTTTTAACATTAATGTGTATGATATATTTTTGGTGTTTTATGCTATGACATTAACTCTAGTCTGCCTATTACTTTGGAGGAGCCATACCCTGCAGGGAGTGTCCGATTTTGCAGAACCAAATTAATGAACGTCTAGTCTGCCCATTACTGGAGAGGCTAAACCCTGTAATTTTGTCATGCGTCCGTACCCCGAAGAGGTGGGGTCTGGACGTGACTCGTCCCATTCTCGGATTCCACTAGTCACATGATAGGCCATGGGCCGCTTGTGTTGAGTTGCTCTGTAACCGATCAGGGCCATGTAGGGATCATTTTCCTTTATATGAGAAGATTTTTGATTGACTCGACGGCTCTTCCCCAGTACATTGACGATATCCTGGACTATTATGTGACTCTTTGGTATTGGGTGTTTCCTTGCAATTGTTGCACATGAGTACAGTGGGCTGTTGTCTGAAACAACGATCTCATGAATCCCGTGTGTCGTGGACGTGCTATTAAGGTGATTTAGCCTCTGCTGCAGTTGCCCTACTGATCTGCAGCAGTAGTCGAGAAGGTATGATATTTTATCCAACTCGAAGGTTGGTTACGACTTTCTGGAACAGAAGCTCTTGTCTCTGACGGAGTCAAAGGCTCTATTTGCTGCAAACTCAGCAGTTCGTTACTATTGCAGTTCAGCTGAGTGTCCTTGCTACCACACTGACTTGTGACCCGTTTTTTTGCTGCCGTGCTCACTTGACAACAGTAATGCAATTGTTACTAAGCCAGTCAGTGCTTGAGTAAATGCATTTTAAGGAGATTTTCATTGAAAAAGGAGTGTAAAGTCTCATTCCCAACTCCCACCCTTTCACGAAGGGGGTCTGGTGTCTAATATCTTGGTTTTCAGCATGCTGGGTATTACAGCATGATAGTCATGTGTGTGCCTGTGCCCTTATTCGTTTTGTTCGTTTTGTATACATCCTCAAAGAGGACTGTAGCCTTAATGCAATAGGATAATATTACATTTTTCAAACCTATATACTCAGTACAACCAAGCAATCTGACATTAGATACCTATCTCTTTGGATAGTAGTCAACTGCGTAGCATAGCATGATAGCCATGGGTGTGTCCGCATTTGTTTTGTTCGTTTTTTGTACATCCTCAAAGGGACTGTAGCCTAATGGGATATTATCAACTCAGTACAACAAAGAAATCTCACATTAGAAACCTGCCTCTTTCATAGGAGCTGGATATGGGCATGAGACCAAAGAATATTTTATAATCAGCTTGTTGTACATACCCTTTGTTCCAGAATGTGGCGTCTCACCGAATCCTGGAAACCTAGATGAGGCAGAAAAAGCTGCAATTTTTGATGATGATTCACTGTTACCTTGGTATCCATTTTCTGAGCATCAGGGTCTATCCTCAACATGTTTTCAACACATAAAAGAGTATGTCTGATATATATGCAAGTACTATTCTTGTGTATTGTGTGTGGAGACTGGAGCTTCTTTATGTATGTATCTGATGCTGCTATACATACCGTAATATTCTCGTATTATACAGAAACACTACACGTGCAAACGCACACACAAGATATCATCGCTACAGCTGGCATGCTACATATGTAGTAGCTACAGCTACATGTTCACAGCGAACTGGGGATGTGCATGTGCAAAAAGCTATGCTGCTAGAACTACGCGAGATCTGGAGATGAACTACAGACTGGCATAGCTTCTATGTGCATCTATGTAGAGACTACCATCTCCATGAAGCGTAGCTCTTTCAAGGCACCCCTTTAGTCTTACCCCCAGAGCAATGCCGGTTTCTTGCTGTAACATCGTCGTCTGACAGTCTTAGTCTTCTGCCTACCGTTGACTTGCTCCTGCTGATTTTAAAATGCTAAGCATAGTATTTGAGTGCACATGTTGACCCAGTCGTGTGCAGAAGAAAGTTTGTGTGTACATACATATTCGATCTGTATAGAAATTGCATGGCTGCTATTGCTTGCTGTTGGTGTGATTGATTTATTCATAGTTACATATAACATCACTCATACACATTATGTTTGGTCTTATAACTACTTTCATACAAATATAGATTGCAGAAAGGTGGTAAATCTACAAGGATTACTGAGGTCACAGGTACAGAACTTATCAAGATTGTTGTGGGTACGTGCAGTTCAGTAATACTGCTGAGAGTACTATCAATTTTCCATGGAATACATCCCTTAATATATGACTTTCAGATAATTGTTCTGCCCCATTTTTTTAGAGAAAAGGTGTCCTTAGGGTGTAATGGTAGGGGACTTAATGTGCCTGCGTAGGCTAGCGAGGGTTACGGTACTTGAGTAGTAGTGTGCCGTTTTGTATGTTTCGCCAATCTTTCTGCCGTCAAACGGCAACAAAAAAGTGATACTAATAGGTTCATTGCTACACTGCCTGGATTTTGTTTTTGCCTTTCATAAGTAACAGTGTGAGAACCAGGTAAACAAGCCCTCAACCGCATTCCGCCTGTTACAATAAAGTTGCAACGGTGGGTGAATGTTGAGTCTCGTGATGCTATCTACTACTACTACGTGTTACGTGTGATATTTGGACCATGCGCAAAATTAAGGAGGGAATATTTTCATCATGTGATAAGTGCCACAAAAGTCGTCCCACCCATACACAAAATGTATGCGTGGTGTTTATGCCACCGTATCACATTCTGAATATCTTTCAGGCCTTGGAAGAAAAGAGCCTTCCTCGGTATAGTTGATTTGTTTGTTGTAGCCTTTGCCTTTCTACCTCGTAGTTTTCACATGGTTCAAAGGTAGCATGTATATTTTGCATGGAAGGGGGAGAACGCCAGGGATGGAGGCTAGTTGGACGCTCCTTCGTTCCTTCAGCCTTTATGAGCTCCTGGTATTGGGACACATGTTATCATTTTCACCTTTCACGTTCAGTTTGAATCAGGTCCCACTTGACTCATCAGTCTTAACCCTTTGGTCATTGATAAAAAGTTGGCTTTAATTGCATTATTGGTCATTGATTTATTCTGTTTTTCAAAATTCTTCACCCTCAGTGTGCATGCGCAGCGAAGGTTACAGTTCTTGGTGTGTGTGCGTTTGTCTCTCTGCAGCTATTCTCGCACTACAGCCTACAAGGTGGCCAATGAGTAATACAAACGGCTTTACAACTACGATTAGGAGTTGATTTTCCTGAAACGAGCGCGTTCGAGAGTGAAAACAAGCAACAATACATAATCAGCACTGGCTTGCCTTTACCAGGCTTAGCCTGTTCAGCGGGGTAAGGTTACTCAGGGGGTGTGTATCTTGTCAAGTGTTGCTCTAAAGGGGTTTACGTAACACACTGATGTAGCTAGCCTGTGTAGTTCACCCTCAGCACACATGCGCAGTGAGGGGGTATTGTACTTGGTATGCCTGTGTGTATGTGTGTGTCAGGCTGCGGGGTAGCCTATGAGTAAAACTGATGGCTTCAGAACTACGTGAGCCTGAAAAAAGATTGTTTCCGTAAACGACTGCGTTTGAGAGATATGGCATGAAAACAAGTGGAAAAAAACATATATGCATTATCGCACTGGCTTACCAATCCGGGTTGCTCTCTGTACCTCGGAGGCACAAGAAGTCACAACAAAGGGCGTGTATATCAACTCCTGCATGCAGTGTAGCGATCCTGCTCCACACTCTCTACAACCTAGTAGCGGGAGACCACGCATAAGACGTACTCATAGCCCAGCCAGTCCATCAATTAGCGATACCTCACCTTCACAGTGCGCTGAGGGTTTGCGGTTTAGTGCTTTTAAATTGAGTATTGGCTTGTTTGCTTGGTTTTCACACCGTAACTTTTGAACCCAGTGTTTTAATGAAAATCAACAGATTTAAAATGAAGCTAGTGCAGCTCTGGTTATGCAAGCTCATCACAAGCACATCACATGACCAACACTAGCTGTGGAGTCAGTTCCAGTAAAAGCAAATACCCCACAATACATGGGTATCATAGACATACTGTGTATGCATGGCCTAGAATGCTATGCTATACAGTAAGACATTGAGCTAACCAGATTTATAACGCAAACAGAGAAAAGTCCCAGGCCCCTCTAGATTGCTGTTTGAAAAGATTTTGGCTAGCTTTTTGCGTTGGTGGCAGAAAACGTGATAATAGACAGACAGACACACACACTTACGAACCAAGTAACTGTCCCTGCGCATGCACGCTAAGGGTTAATGAAAATCTGAATGTATAGGATGGTATTCATCAACCTGATATCTTGCTCATGTGTAATTATTTTCCTCCACGCAACCTTATATCGGTGCCACTTTTACTCACAGCTTGTTAATGATGTAGAGTGTGAGCACAATGGTAAAGCTAGTTAGAGAAGCAAAAAACAAAGCATTGTTAGTTGAGCTGACATGGAAGTCCCAGACTGCACATAATGCAGTCACAACTTATAACCGAGGAGCTGTCAGAGAGTGCAAGACCTGTCTCATGTGTCTACTATTCGAGGGAGCACAGTCATGCAGAGGGCTTATGTTATCACAAGCAAGCATTTATAGTTATCACCCATTGTACTACTGAATCACAGGCACTAGGTCATTCCTGTCTTGTCTTTTTACTTTTTATATCCTAATTTACTTGTCCAAATGTGTATTCTTATAGGGAAAAAAGGCTCCTAAGTCAGCAAACACAGGTAAGTTTTGAATACGCGACCAGTATGAATCATCGGTATAATTAATTTCTTCCATTTTTGCAGATGATTACAGCCTGGATGAAATTTTTGAGATTATGGCAGCTGGTTACATGAAGGTTATCAAAAGTTGTAGTGATGTAAGTGAACCTAATTTTCACACTAAATTGTTGCTTTTCTGTGTGCATGTGCCGAAGTAATGATTAATGCAAAATATATTCTAATCTTTTTTCATGAACTATAACACCATCCCCATATCTTAGTCACATATTTTTGCCGATGAGTGTTGTTAATGTGTAGTGAACCCCATTCATAATCCTTGTATCGATCCATCCCTATATCCCCTCTTCAAAGAAACTTATTAACCCTCGGCGCGCATGCACAGCGAGGGTGACGGTACTCGGTCTGTGTGTGTCCGTCTGTCTGTCTTTCTGTCTGTATGTCAGCAGCTATTCTCGCACTACAGGGTTCGAGGTGGCCTATGAGCGATACCAACGTCTTCAGAACTGCGCGAACCTGAAAAATAATTATGCGATTTCCCGAAACGACTGCGTTCGAGAGCGAGAAACTGGCACGGTCGCTGACCGAGTTGCATGGCCCAACCCATCAATTAGCTGTGCACATGCATATATTATAAACGTGTGGCGCTGCTGACATCGACCGCGACCGCGACCTCTACCAGGTCCGCTCACTCTATGTATCTTGAAGGCACTATAAGTCACAACTAAGTAGTAGTTAACGTATAGGCGGCGAGGTGGTACAGGATATACTCCGAGGCTGTTGACTATACCGGACAAGAGCGTAGTTAACATAGTTATAGTTAACAGCCGAGGAGGATTTCCTGTACGTGCCGAGACGCCTGACGTTAGTCCGACTAGCCAATCACAATGCTGAATTTCTGCTGTGTCATCCTGCACTAATTACTAATGGACTGTTGTGTAAACTTTGGAAGCCAGACAATTTGGACTACGCCTAGCGCTAGATGTTGTGATAAGGACTTCCTGTCCAATACCGATATTGGTGCAGCCCTCAGCCCACAGCTCAGAATACAGCTAGCACTGGGTTGTTTGAAGTTGGACTACAAGGGCCTGTATCGACTCCTGCATGCTATCTACTACTGTAGCTAGCCCGTTCCAGACTCTCCGCGAGCTACTAGCGGGAGAAACGCATACTGATAGCCCAGCCCATCAATTAGCGGTATGGCGCATGCACAGTTTGCCGAGGGTTTGCACTTTAGTGCTTTTCATTTTTTAACAGCATTGACTTATTTGTTGTTACTCTGATGTGCATGGGTACAGGTTGACCTCTGCCTTACAAAGTGAAAACACCATCGACATTAGAAGTACTTAATATATAGGGATGACACAGGTTGTCCAGCCATTATGCCCAAACATTTGAGATTGTATGTATCACTTTCAGTTTCAATCGAATCCCACTTTTGACATATCAGTCTGATCTGTATCGTCAAAAAAGCATGTACCCAAGAAATGGGTGAAATCGCATAATCGGTAATTGTCAAAAAAGTCAGTTTTCAAAATTCTTGTTGTTGTTGTTCAGTTCAGACAAGCGTATCTCCAAAAATAACCAGGAAATATATAGAGATGAAACTTTGCACAGAGATTGGAATCCATGACATGTCGTGCAAGAGCATTTTGATTTCTTTGTAAACAATTTTGATTACATGTACAATAGCCCCAGGCCATACATTACGATACCAATAAAGTGGTCTAACTATGTAAAGCAGAGTGATAAAACATATGCAACCCATCATTTTTAAGCATTACAACTTTGTTAACAACAACAACAAACAGCCTCAGGCAATAAAAACTTGTAAATTGTTTGTGCCTTATGATGGATCCTCTACCAATGGAACTTGGTGCACTGATATACAATGATAACCTCTGAAATCCTCACTGTGCATATGCACCTGAAGGGGCAGTATAGTGAGAGACATAATACACAGACAGCTTACATAAGAGTAGCCAAGGAGGTAATCAAGGGAGGCGCCGAATATTGTTTTCCTAACACGGCTCACACACAGAATCTCTCTCTCGCAAAGTTGTCCCCTCATAAAGTTGTCCCCGCGTAAACCAACAGCAAAACACTATTACGCTAATTAGACTAGTGAAAGTACCTAACCTGGGAAATGCGTGATCCACTCGTGCTGCTTGCTGCTGAGTTACCAGCAAGTGATTTTGCGCAGTGTGTACCATGAAGAGCTCCACGATTATACATATATACATACACCACAGTGACTTGCAAAAAGAAACGATCGCTTTAAGGGCCGTGAACAACTCTAGTGAGCACAGAAGTGATTTTAAACAAAGTGCCTGAGGTACGTATTTGTTGTATTCACAAGCATGTAATCGTATTTAGGGTAGTGTGGAAGTTGGAAGCTGCCTAAAGCTATTTGTTGTTGTTTACAAACATGTCATGTCATGTGTACTAAGTTTCATCTCCGCGCGTGCTACCATTAGCGAGCAATGAAGTGATTTTATAGAAAACTGCCTGAGGTTATTTGTTTTTTCACAAGCATGTAATCAGGTAGTGAGGAAGTTGCAATACACATGTTTTCAATGTGTCTAACATTAGCCCATACATATGTACATCAATGTTGCTCTGCACGATCCTTTTTAAATAGAAAGTAGCACCAGTACTTAGTGATAGTGAATTTGTCAACCCTGACTGTATTCTATTACTTCCAGTGTCTCCAATTACAAGAGTGGGTTGCAAACAACCTGTGCAACGTACAGGTAGAAGTAGTCTACCTACTTCCCAAGGTCTCTAAATTTCTCCTGCTAAATGCTGAGCAGTTGGAACAGAAGTATGCCAAAGGACTCAATAACAATGAGGAGAAAATGACTGAGTTAGTTGTTCTCGGATAAGGAGGTGTATACTGTGAACTCTTTAGCCTACACATGGGTGTAAACTTTGGGATAGTTACTGGGAAAGTGTAGCCATTTTGCTAAGATTATGGGAATCCCTGGTGTACATCATCTGCATCTATACTCTTCGAGCTACTTACAGATCCTAAAATTGAGAAGATTTTTTATTTGTCATATTATGCTATGGTGATTGAGTTTAATCCTAACGCAGGTACCTGCTGCAAGTGCTTTTGAGGTTGGAAGTAAACCATATCGCAGTTGGACAGTTAAAAGATCTAGATATCAATATTTTAGCAACAGAGGTATGTATATTCTTCCTATGCATGCAATGTGCAGTTGTGTATAATGTATCAGTCTTTTTTCGCCTTGTCAATCTCTGTAGAGAATAGGCTCCAGGCAGAATTGTACATATCATTGTTGTTCAGTGCTTATTACTTACTGGCTCTAGGAGGGTTTGAAGCCCTACAGAATTCTGTCACTGCGTAATACCATTTTACAGGTCACTCACCTGCTAAGAAAAATTTCACTAATGGCGAAACCTTCATTTCTTGGCCAATTGATGAAAGAGGTCATCCTACCAAAGTGAGTTACTGTTTGCCTTTTTAAAAATTCATTTCCACATATGCCTAACCAATGGTGTGAACTGCCCTATTATGACGTTTTGGACTCGTAGATTTTATAATGGAGGCATTCCGTTAAAGATTTATGGTAGAAAAATCCAATTCCTAATGATGAGTACTGGCTTACCACTTTTGCCTGATTCTGCAGCTTAGAAACTTTATTAATGACAAGCGGTAAATAGAGCATTGTCCCTTTCAGTAACTAATATGACAGAGATGCGGGTAGCCTTGGTACCAGACCCTCTCGGAATGGGGTGTAGTCTACTGCCCGAAAAACCTTGGGGGGATGAGAGGTGGATGCTGTCAAGTGCTTTGGTGGTAAATAATATTAATCTTTTGCTTAGTTTTTCCACGAAATCATTTCACAACCACTTGCCTTTGAAAGTTTCAAGAACAATTGTATATGCTCTGTATATGCAAACGGGTGTTGAATGCTTATCTGTGTTCTGATTATGTGTGAAGTGTGATTGTCTTGTTGAGGATCAACCGGACACAAAATACCAGCACTTTGACATGCGTAATATTCTGTTTCTCATCATTGCTGTACGCCACACATCTTTTTCTTCCAACAGCTACTCTGCTACTTGCCAGAAAATGCTTCTTAGTGTGTATGAAGAACTGTTGCTTCCAGTGCCAGTTGAACTTGGTGGGAGCCGGCTGGGTAGTCCACAGAGAGAGGATGCTAAAGCAGACTCTGTCAGCAGCAATGATGATGAAAGGAGTGTAGGCCAACAGTTAGTAAATGACGTGTCAAGTGCACCTGTGAAAACTGTGACCATGCATAGGTCAGCGAGCAATCTCTGTGTCCACATCACTGCCATGCACAATTATATGAACCATTTTCAGTTTTATGCGTCATGCTAGTTTTCAAGATCAGCGCCAGATCATCATGCCTGCTCAAAAACCTAAATGGAAGAAAGAAGAAGCAGTACGTGTTACTATTACGCTGTATTGGACTGTAAATAGACACTTATGTGTACAGCCACACTGGCATTGACAGTTAAGAGTCTTCTTTGTGCAGACAGTTCTATTGACCCCTATGTACGTATAAGCATCAGTGATTTTTTGTGCATAATGGTCAAAGGTCACCTGCATGTGATACATTCGTACCTGTGGAGGTGTAGCAGCCTGAAGACAATGTTATTTTTTGTATTTTTGTCATTCTCTGTCCAGCTGTTTTGCAACAATATAACTATGAACCAAAATGGTGCCCATTTAGTGGTCTGATTTGCGTCTGTACAGAATTGAACATGCGCATAAAGTGGTGAAAATATTCTCTAGTATATTGAATCTAGGCTATTTAGAACTGCAGCTGAGTTGGTTATTCTGGCACATTATGTCACCGTAGGATAAAACCCTGCTGTGCATGTAAAATGTACATAAGGCAATTGATTTTCACAGGCAGTGAATGGCTGTGTAATGAATGGAACAATCTGATTGGTCTATTAATGGATGTGTGTAATCACTGTAGAATTGTCCAAGTAGCCTGTTGGGTTGTACCTATGTATTCTGTCCCTATGGGGAAAAGGTGTATAATATTTTTTGTTCGATTTTTCGATTTGCAGAAAGACAGTAAAGACATTGGCCGGTAAGTTTTTTTGTTGGAGATATAATGATATGGAAATGAGTACGCTTATGTATATCGTGTGTGTAGTTGCATACGTAAAATCATAGGTATTCAATGCAAGGAAACTGAACAGCTTACACTTTCACACAAAGTAATTAAAGCGCTCCATAGTAAAGTCTAAATGGTTCATGATTATAATATATACACACAGTTGTGTACCTAGACTTGCTATAATTTTCTTTGTAGGAGAGTGGACCTGTCTCCCGTAGCGAGTCGTAACAAAGGTGAAAATTATTTTATAATTGTATAGACATGAGATATGTCTTTTTACAGATTCAGCTGAGCAAACCTCTGTTCAAGGTAAGAATTCTTTCCACACATATCCTGTGATAGGCCTCCTCTGTGTATGTATATACCTAGACACAGGTTACAGTAGTTTTATGTCTCTTGCCACAACTTTGGTGTAATTGCAGCAATCAAGTTATACAGGCTCTTTATTGCAGGTTAAGCACTATATAGTCACAAATAATATTCTTTGTGACACACATGCAAGCATAGAAAGGTAGTTAATCTTTGATGTTTAATAAATCACAAGCATAAACCCAAATCATTTTTGGTCGAAAGATCTGGCAAAAGTGACTGTTGAGTACTTTAGTTCTTTAATTATCAGTTTGTCTTACATGAATCTGTCCAATCAAGCCCCTCGTAGTGTGTGTCGGACTTTGTTCAAGAGAAGCATGAGTTTGAACGTCGATATTGGCTGCAAGAGGCAATGTGACGAAGATCAAAATGATACGAGTGCCAAGAGAAATAAAGGTTTGTGCATAAATAGTTAATAATAACCAAAATAAATTATATGATGTAAATAGATTCCTGCATGTCCTGTTCCGTGTTCATGTAGATGACATAATTATTAGAACATGGAACAGTGCAGAAATTTTCATAACAAAATAATTTATCAAACTAACACCATATAGCGGATGGTTTCAATTGCGAATGCATGAGCTCATCCTGATTGAATTCTTTTAACTGTTTTTGCTCCCATCACTAAGTACGGTAGTACTTAGTATATAGGGATTGGCATGGTACGTACCTAGCATCATAGATGTATGGGGCTATGATAGGGAGTTTTGTTCGTCTTCTTCTTCTCCTCCTTCTTCTTCTTCAGATTGAACTCCCGTAACTCAAAAACGAAATAGCATAAAGCAATGAAATTGTGTAAGAATATAGATATCCATCACCCGAAGAGACTGGTCATACTTATTTGTTTGTAAACAAGATTGTTTACTGTAAACAACAACAAATAGCCCAAGGCAATGCATTATAATGGGATCACATGTGAGCTATGTGAACGAAACTTTGTAGACGTAATGTATTCAATCACCAGCATCAAAATACATGTTTGTAAACAACAACAAATAGCCTCAGGCACTTTTCTTTAAATTTACTTCTTCACTCCTCAAACTCTCCAATGGTAGCACACATAGAGATGAAACTTGGTAAGTATGCCTATTATATCATTTCCATCATGATTACATGTTTCCATGACGACCGCATATTGTTTGAAAAGGCAATTTTCTTTAAATTACTTCTTCACTCCTTATACTTAGATGTGGTGCATGCTTACTGTCGGAAATGGAGGCTATTCTTCGCCCTGGTGCTCACTTCTGTACGCCTCTCGGTGTTAGCCTACCTGCTCTCTTCTCCTCTCTTGTTTTGTTTGGTGGCACCGGTATCTCCATGCTTATTGCGGCTCCTTTTTCTCTTTCTCTTCTTGTTCACGCCCGATGCCGCCCGTAAGTGTGGGTGGTGCGGTCCGTGGACGCCTTCCGATCGGAGGTCAAAGTGGCGCTCAGTGGTGAACTCTACAACCTTACAGGCAGTGTTGTTGCTTTCGATATGGGTCAGCTGGAAAAAAATGTTGTCGTGGCTAAGGGGGGGGGGGGGGGGGGGGTGGTAAATGCTTTGAAATGGGGGGAGGGGGGGTGTGTGGAAACAATGGGTGCCATAAAAATATCTCCAGGGGAACGTCGATACTTGGGTGTTGCATGGGATGTTGCATATATAACTATTCAAGTAAGTTTTTTGTGTTAGAAGACCAAATTTGGTTCTATGTCTTAAAGCGGTTTCATCAGTATGCATTACTCTCTACCGTGTGATAACGCCCTTTCTTCTTCTTACGTACCATAGTCGATCCTAGTAATTGTCTTGTCTTACGTGTCTCTGCGGTTGTCTGTGCTGGCGGTGGTTAGGCTCACACTCTTAGATGTGTAACGATATGGGAGTGAGGTGTGGGAAGCCAAGTAAGATCTCAGGCAGGCTGCGTTAGAGTCCGGATGCTGGAGGAGCTAAGCGTATCTTGAGTGTTTGTCTAAGACATGTAATGAAGCCGTTAGGGGGGATATGGGGCTGTGATACGTTACAAGGCGTAGGGATAAGAATGAGTTGAGTGGTGGTATAGGTTAGCGGTATTGCCAGGCAATAGGTATCTGAGAGAAGCTTTTTAATCAGGAATGGATTTTAAAGCCACGGAGAGGAAGGCAGAGGAAGTTTGGAGCAAGTCATTGATGATCTCTTTTCTCATTAGGGTCTTGACAAGGCAGAGTGGTTGCATGATATTCAAAATGGGGATTGCCCCTTGAAGGGCTTTTGTCTATAGTAGGGACAGTATTAATGAGAGGGAGATTAGAAAGTTGAAGATGGCTAAATACGAAGTAAGCTGTTATATGGTATAAGACATTTACACGAGGTGGTAGAGTTTCAACAGTACTTGCATGGTAACAGTGATGCTGGTGTAAATTAAAATGGTTAAGTTCAGGTCAGGCACGAATGGGCTAAATGAGGAACTGGGTAGGCATAGGGGGAGGGGGGATGAAGGAGTGCCTGTTGTGTGATGATGAGTGTGAAGTGTGAGTCATGTGTTGTGGAGTGTCCAGCATATAGTAATAGTCTTATGAGCAATTTCTTAGTTGCCCTGCAGGAGAGCTTGGGGATGATGGGTTTGAGCATTTCCAGTTGCTTGATAGTTTCAGGAAAGCATCCTGTATATTGGGTAGAGCTGTGGGAGGATAAATTTGGTTCTTTGCTTCGCCTTGTTAAAGGTTTTATTTCGGATGTTTGGGAGCTAAGAAAGGTTAGGTTGGTATATGGTGATAATCCCAGCGTACAACAGACCAGTCTCAGATTGTCGTCTGGGGAGCTGCAGGGTGTCGCTGGTGGAAGGGGTGAGTTGAAGTGTCTGGGAGGTTAGACAGACATCCTCATGTTCATATTATGGTGTATGTTCGTTTGTTAACGGTTCTGCCCATTGCTCTGGGTTCGTGGTCTATGCCCCAGTGCTATGACAGCCACCTTATTACTTCTTCACTCCTCAAACTTGCTAACTATAGTACGCATGGAGGTGAACTTTGTAATGCAGTGTGTACACATCGTTTCCATGGCGACCACAACAACAATAGCCTCAGGCACTTTTCTTTAAAATTACTTCTTCACCTCCTCAACTGCTACTGCAGCACACATGGAGATGGAAACGTGGTATGCTATCATTTCATGACGACAACAGACTTTTTTCTCTATTATTAATTTTTATTGGGGCTTGCCCCCTTCCACAGAGATAATACGTAGTAGTATATAATATGAGTGGAGACAAGTAATAAAAATCCTGCGAATTTAAAAAAAGAGGCATATAGGGATGTATAAAAA